TCTACGATCGCAAAGCACTATGAGACACCGGCACACCAGCTAACTCAACAAGGTCCAAAATGGTCTGAAACCACTCCGAAACTCACCTAAGCCTCCCAGGCCCCAGTCCAAACATCCAAAAAAGTATATAAAATATAAACAAACTTGATCACAAGCTCAAAACATCAAATTAAAATCTAAAATAAAGAATCAAGAATCAAATCTCAAGGATTTCAAATATTCTTTAACTCAAATTTCCAACTTTCAACGATAAGCGCTGAAACGGCCTCCGGTCACCCGAGACCCAAACAAAATATACGTAAAAGTTCAAAATCATCATGCAAACCTATAAAAATCGTCAAAACACTAATCCAAGGTCATTTACCAAGAATGTTAACCGTGGTCAACTCCAACAATATCAAAGCTCTAAAATCAAGATTTCTTTATCAAAACACATCTAAACTTTTTGAAAATCACTACGAACTATGCACACAAGTCATAGATCACCAAATGAAGCTATTCAAGGCCTGAAATCACAAAACGGAAAGCTAAAACTCAATACGACCTTCACATTGTTACATAAAATTAATAGAAATTCTCTTTATTGGGTTTTTACCGTGTGAGCCCGGATTGACTTTTGTTGACTTTTTGAAAATTGATTAAAGATTAAAGCTTTGTTGTTTGGAACTGATTTCTATGATGTTACTTAACTTTATTGAGTATTATTTGGCTAGATTCGAGCCGATTGGAGGTGATTGTTAAAGGAAAGGCAATTTTGGAGGGTTGATTGGGCTTGTTAAGGTAAGTATATTGCTTAACCTTGTTATGAGGGAATAACACTTATGATATAACCTCGTTTTCTTAATTATAATGAGTGTGAAGCAACGTATACGTGATATGCCGAGCGTACATATGAGTACTATATATGATTCATGACCGGATTAGACTTTAGGCTTTTACTATGCCTCGTTTGTTTATGTGCCTTCCATATTTCATGTTCTAATCAATTGTGTCACCATGTGGTACATTTTTTTCATGCTAGTATCCATGTTTAGGATTACTACTTTGTAATTGGCCAAGATGAGATATTTGTAAAATTATTGTTATACTCAATTTATCTGTAGTCATACTTCATATCTTGAACACACATCCGCACTTTTAATTGTCATATCCTTGTGCACCTTATTGATTATTTTTGAGCATATGCCTCTTTAATGATGAAATATTATTTTGAATTACTATAATTATGGCATATTTGGACGTGTTGAGCGAGTTGATTTGGCTATGGCGCAAGGTTTTTTGCCATGCGGTCATTGTGATATTGTTGTTATTATTATGGCACGAGGTTTCTACCATGAATTTGAAGTGAAATTGTCACCTTTATGGCACGAGGTCACTATCGTGAAGCGTGCGAATATGGATCCACCCCCCTAAGGTCGCCCTCCCATGTTTCTCTCTTGATAGCGTACATGCATGTTGTGGGAAACCGAAGGGTTTCTCATTGATTCTGATGTGGGATCCGATGTGATGCATTTTGAGCATAAAAGTGGAAGCTTTGATCATTTAAGTGAATCTCTTATGCCTTATCATGCATTTTATATGCTTTTTATGTTGAATTCTAGCATGCTACTTGATGCCTCTGTTATGTATTTTTGACTTGTTAGTCGAGATAGAATTATCCATGTTAAGTTGATATTTCCTGATATGATCTTTGACGATATTGTATCTCTTTTCATAGTCTTGTAGTGAATAAATATGAATTATACAGGTTTAATTGATTAGTAGGTATCACATGACTTGAACCTCGCCAGTACGTTACCGAGGTTACTCTTGATACTTACTGAGTACACGTTGTCCTGTATCATACTACCATTTCTGCATATTTCTGTGCAAATCTGGGCATTCGCCGTAGCGGACTCGAAGAGGGTGCCTAGTAGCTATCAATGAGACTTGAGGTAGCGCTGCATGATCGTTCGCAGACTTTTGGAGTCCCCTTCCCTTACTTTTATATTGTTATCTATATTTAGACAGTATTGTATTACTGAGAGATTTTATTGTATTTTACTTTAGAGCTCATGACTCCGTACAACCGGGTTTTTGGGGATTTGATGTTTTAGTATGCAGATGCTATCTGTTGTTGAATTCTTATTCCACTATTTATGTTATATTATATCTTGTTTCGTTTGTTTTGATCTATGTTACATGTTGTCTTACCTAGCCATATGTGTTAGGTGCCATTACGATCGTTGGTGAGATTTTGGGTCGTGACAAAGTTGGTATCAGAGCTCTAGGTTCATAGGTTCTACGGTCATGAGCATGTCTAATAAAGTCTTGCATATTGGTACAGAGAAGTCTGTACTCATCTTCGAGAGGCTATGGAACAAATAGGAAACTTCACTTTTTTCCTTTTTCTATCGTGCAACTTTTTTTCATCTTAAAGTTTGAATCTTTACTCTTCTATTCTCTCATAGATGGTGAGGACACGTTCTTCCGCAACAACTGAGCAGGAGCCAGCCCCTCAAGCCAGAGCCAGGAGAGGCAAAGGCCGGGGCAAGGCTAGAGTTTAGGCAAGAGCACGTATGGCCGCACCTGCGACAGGTAGAGCACTTGCAGTTCCTCGTGCTTGTGCTAGATTAGTTTCTGAGGAGCCAACAATAGCTCCAATGGCAGAGTAGGCTCCAGTTCATATTGTTCCATCGGGTCCAGCTTACGTTCCCAAGGGTTTTATTGTCATCCTAGTGCTTCAGGATACTATTGTCCGGATCTTGAGTTATTTTGATCGATTTGCATAGTCCGGTATAATACATATGATTCCATCTACTTTCAAGACTGGATAGGGAGCACAAATCTCGATTATTCACACTCCAGAGCAGGCCACTACTATGTTTCAGACTCTAGGAGTTCTGATTGTTCCACCAATTGGGGTCGTTCATCCTGTTGCTACAGTCAGGCCTAAGGTTAGACCTGCTATGACCGTGGAGGAGCAGAAGAGGATCGATTGGTTTCGGAAATGTAACAACCTGATCGGTTGTTTTATGTATTTGAGCCCTATTTCCCCTTTTGAATCTTCTCGTGGTGTAATTATGGTTATATAACTTACAGGGATGGTTGGTTGGGTTTCGGTGAGGGTTTGGATTGATTTGGAACATTTGGTTCTTAGTTTGGAAGCTTAGGTTGAAAATGTTAACCGAGGTTTGAATTTTGTGAAAACAACTCCAGAACGGTGTTTTGATGGTTCTAATTGGTTTATATGGTGATTTTGGACTTAGGCGTATGCTCGGAATTGAATTCGGAGGTTCCTAGGATGATTTGGCTCTTTTCGCCAAAAGTTGGCAATTTGAAGGTTTAGAAATTTCCTAAGTTTGACCATGGGTTAACTTTAGGGCTATCGAGTTCGAATTTTTCATTCGGAATTTGGAATAGGTCGCTCATTTGAAACTTGTGTGTAAAGTTTGGTGTCATTCCGAGTTGGTTTGGTAGGAATCAGACGTTTGATTGTGATTTTAGCGATTCTTGAGTTTCATTGCGAATTCTATGTGTTTCAGTGTTCGAATTCATGTTCTGGATGTTACTTTGGTGTTTTGAGCTCGGGAACGAGTTCGTATGATATTTTTAGACTTGTGTGGATGTTTGGTGTGGAGCCCTAGGGGCTCGGGTGAATTTGATCGCGTTTCGGAGTGTTTTTAACTTGTTTTAAAATTGTTGGTTCTTTGCTGGTGTAGCAGGCCTCGCGAATGAGAGATCATGTTCGCATTTGCGGACCTCGTATTTGCGATAGTTGACTGTGTGGGTTGGCTTCACAATTGCGGAGCCAGTGTCGCATTTGCGAAATGGGTCTGGGCTGGGACATGTCGCTTTTGCGACGTAGGCTGACTTCGCAAATATGAAGTAAGTGTCGCTTTTGCGACATTCCTTGGGCTCAACATGCATCTTATTTGCGATCAATTGGTTGCATTTGCGAGGGGTTGTATTTGCGAACCCCTAGTCGCATTTGCGACTTCTGCAGCTGAACACAAAGATGCGATTTTGGGACTTAGTCTCATTTTATCACATTTTGAGCCCTACATTCAATGGAAGGCGACTTTAGGAGATGATTCTCATACAAAGCTATTGGGTATGTGATTTTTACTCAATTTTGATATTATAACATGATTATTTATGAATTTTAACATCTAAACCATGAGATTTGAAGAGAAATTTTGGGGATTTTTTACTATGTTTTGAAAAATAAAATTTTGATATTGAGAGTTGATTTGGACTCGGATTTGAAAACCAAACATATATTTGGACTCATATGGTTATCGGTAGTCGAGATCCACCCCTCGACTCGAGTTTTGACCAGGCAAGTCTGGGGTTGACTTTTGTTGACTTTTTGGAAATTGTATAAAGATCTTAACGTTATTAATTGAAATTAAATTCTCTTGCATTGCTTGATATTATTAAGTTATTTTTGGCTAGATTTGAGCCGAGCAGAGGCAAATCTGTAACGAAAAATATAACGAAAGGGAAAATAAAAAAGGGTATAATTAATCCCTTAATTTGAGGCTCTACTCCCTTAGTTAAAGGCACTTAAATGAGTCCCTTATTGAGATGTATATAAATTGTAAATAATATATAGTTACCTTTGGTAAATAACAAACTTTAAGGAATCCAGGTAATTAAACTAGCGTTTGGACATAGATTTAGTTGAAACTTGAAAAAAATGAGTTTTTGAAAATGAGATGAAAAATAGTTTTTGAAAGTTGAAATTGTATTTGGCCATGCATTTTACTTGAAAAGAATTTAAAGTTTTGTGAGTATAAAACTTCAAAAAATACTCGAGAGTTGTTTTTGGGATTTGAAAATTTTGTTTTCAAAATTTGTCAAAAAATAGTTAAAATTTATAAACAAATAAATATTTGAATTTTTCTTTGAAAAAAAAACTTCCAAATTTTATGGCCAAAGGGAGTTAATTTTGAAATATAGTATATATAAATACAGAAGCTCATAAATTAGAAAAAATCTATTTGTCCTTTTTTTTCCAAAAAATAAAGTTACTTCACAAAGCCCCTTGACGCCCCTTTGGCAAAGCCAAGAATTGTAGAGCGTGTTTCTCTCATTCATCTCAGTTGCAGAGCGCCCTGCTGCCATGGAAGCTTACAACAACGAAGAGTTCGCAGTTGGATGCATTTTATCCATTAAGACTACTTTAGGCGACGAGTTTGAAGCCCAAGTTATCGCCTTTGACAAACCCTCCAACATCCTCGTCCTTCATATCCTTTAATTCACCTTTCCCATTTGATTTTATTGTTTTTTTACATTCTTTTTTATTGGTTCTTGAAATTTCCTTGACTGTTTGTTTGAAATTACAAGAAGGGGTATCTGCATCAGGGCCAAAGAGAGACATAAGGTTATTGAAAGCCAACTACATTAAAGAGTTCAGTTTTCTTGGTCAAGGCCAAGACCCACTTGATACCAATAAATGTTTTCTTGATCTCAATAGCCTTCAATCCAGAGAAGATTCTGCTATTAGGTGAATTTCCTTTTTTGGGGAAGATTCTATTCCATTCTATTTTGTGTATTGAGAATTTATTTAATTGCATATTTGCAGACAAGCAGAGATAGATGCTGAGAGATTTGGGGTTGGTGTCACTGCTGAAGCTCAGACTATATTTGATGCTTTGTCTAAAACGTATGTGCCTTCTCCTCCTTAATTTTTCAGTAGTTTCTTGTATATCTTAATGCCAAATTCACTAATTATACTTACTGCTGTTAGAAGTAAAGAAGTACTAATTGATTGTAGATAGTAAAGTGTTATTCCTTATTGCTTATATTAAGTTTGATTTTTCTTTTTGGTAAATCTTGCACTCAAAACCCCAATCGTATGAGTTAGCAGTGGCCCTTTACGGCATTGCTTCCTTAACCACTCGAACTGCCAATATCTTGGTTGGAAGTGGAGTCCTCTTGCCACTAGAGCAACCTCATTAATCAAGCCGGATTCTTATTTGATGATTGCATTGATGCACTCAGTTCCCTATTGTACAATATGGTTACACATTAAATGCCAACCGGTGTATTCTTATTCACTTTGTCCTATAAATAGCAATGCAAAATTGGGATTGCTGCTTTCCACTGTGCTCCTTCCTAAGACCTTACTCCTTTTCTTTTTAATCTGGCCTTCTCAGTGTAGAAGATGTGGCATTAGTTTGAAAATGCTTTCTTATGCTGACAAATCGTCTTCTCTGTAAAAGTATTGCGCCATTACCTCCACCAACATAGAGGTAGTCTAAATTCCGAAAGGAGAGTGTTTCTGATTTCCACTTACATATTCTTGCTTTCTGGTGTATCTTCAAAAGTAAGATGGTTTAGTGGTATATAGGTGACCAGAAAGCTTTTTTTTTGCTCTTTGTGTTCACTCAAGAAGAGAACTTCTGTATAGGTGTATGCTCATACCTTGTTTTTAGTTTCAAAGAGAAAAGTAGAATTTTCTTTTTGGGAAATGCTCCGTAGGAGAGGATGCTTATAGAAACAGATTGCGGTGCGCTACAAGAGATCAAGCAGTAAGAAAGTGTGCACAAGAAGTGCAGGAAGTCTTTGCTTTGTTAAAACACAAAAATAGTCTCTAGTGCTAACAAAAAACCATAGGCTCATCATACATTACCCCATAAGTTACGTATGAAAAGAAAAAGAAAAATACATTAATAAGTTTAAGAAAAATCACTCTCCTGTAAGTTTAAGCGCTTGTAAAGCTATGTTTTTAAACTAGAGGATAAAGGCTTAAAAGTCATCATAATCTGGCATTGTTTTAACCAAAGTAAGAGATACGACTCTTTGTATTGATTGCTCTTGTATTTCCTGACCTTGACACTTAGGTAATAATAGTGTCATCCTGGAGAAATCATTGATTTCTCAAGAACATACAATTTAGCAATATGTTGCAAATGCAAAAGATCTTTTTAAAGATGTTGTGGACAAACCTTATGCTCATTTCACTTCAAAAAGTTCTACCAAATCTTTAATTTGTTCCCTTCAAGATCCCAACTGTAATTGAGTACGGAACACAGGATCCAGCATTCCATCCATTATTGTACTTGAAATTTTCTATTAGATGATTGTTAGTGGTTAATTCTCGGTACTCACGAGCATCAATTCTCCTCTAGTCTCTTTCTTCCTTGAATTCTCTCGCTCTCCCCAAAACTCCACATGTTTTGGAGTTTGATTTATAGAGTAACTTGAGTGTAGTTCTTAAAGGAGGCAAAATGTAATTGAAACCAATTAACAAGGAGAAAATAGATGAGAAGGACAGTCATTATAGGTTAAGAAAAGTCCCTTGAGCTTAGAGAGCTAGGAAGTAGCTTACAAATGTTGTATGAGCTATTGAGAGGAAGGAAAACTTTGTTAGCCGGGTTAAAGTCAACTTCAACATCCTATAGTAGTTATGTAGGTGATGGGTTTCACATCATAAGTGAAGGAACACGATAAATCTAAACACATTGGATAGCGCGCAAATCATAAACAAAGAACTTGTTCTAGCGGAAGCGGAAGATGGATGAACCGCGGCTAGAATCACTGGTCGGTGGTGGTTGTCACAGTATATTGGATCAAGCCCCTAAGCCACCGTCACTACCCGGAATTTCCACCGTCGGGACCGTGATGGCGCCTAACATTGCACTTGCTAGGCAAGCCAACGTTAGAATATTTTATCCATTTTTCAACAGTTTAAATTAAATAATGAGAAAGAACTGCAATAATCTAAAGTAAAGTGCAGAACCTGGGCCCGATGTTACAAGTGCACGAGCTACTAGAATAGTACAAACAAGAGTCTGAAATAAACATAAAGCCGTCAGAAGGAAAATACACAGCTAAATAAAAGGAAAGAGGACTCTAGGAGCTGCGGACGCTGAGCAGCTGTACCTCAAGTCTCCCCAAGCTGGCCAATCCGAGCACGCTAATAACCGCCGCTGGGACCGACTCCAAAATCTGCACAAGAAGTGCAGAGTGTATTATGAGTACAACTGATCCCATGTACTCTGTAAGTGCTGAGCCTAACCTCGACGAAGTAGTGATGAGGCTAAGGTAGGTCACTTACACTACAATCTATACGCAGTATATAATAAAACAGGAGAAAGAAATACAGAACGAAATAAGACAGTTAACTGAAGAAAATAGCTAAATCGTCAAAGGAAACCAGTACCTATCAGAATACCAATCCTTTGAGTTCCGCATGAAAATACCAAGAACCAACACAGTACAAAGAAATAGAAGCACATAGGTTGTTGCGGCGCGCAACTCGATCCTACCATATAACAAAATCAATATCATAATTCACCCTTATTTTACCGTATCAATCCCCCCTTATTTCATCTATTGCGGCGTGTAAATGATCCTACCATATCAATACAAATTCACCCTTATTCCCACCATATCAATCCACCCTTATTTCACTTGTTGCGGCGTGCAACCCGATCCCACCATATCAATACCAAATATTCAATGGGCACAGTCAAATCAACAATTCAAATCATAAGAACTTCTACGATCAATGAATACAAAGCTGAATCAGAAAGGTAACCTTGTACAATATGGGAATTCACATATGTAATACTACACAGCAAGACAAGTCCAGTAAATGACAATTAGAAGGTACAAGTAAGTCAAGTAAGTCAATTAGCAGCGAGTCATGAAAGCGTGAAAAGATCTAACATTGTGAACAGGAGAAACAATGATTAAATGTAGCAAATAAGCATGGAAGGTATTTAGAGCATATAATAGTTAAGACAGGGAAGGAGATAATTAAGGAAAAACAAAAAATCAGGGAAAACAAGTAATTCAGAGGCATATAAGCACTCGTCACCTCGCATATACGCCGCAACACATGAAATTCACATAACACATACTCCAAGGGTTCCTAATTCCCTCAAATCAAGGTTAAACTCAACACTTACATCACGCCTCAGTCAACTCAGAGCTCTATCGGGGCCTTTCCTGTAGAATCCACCTCCAAACCAGTCGTATCTAACCACAATTGACTCAATAATATCAAATATTGCTAAGTGAATCAAGTACAATGCATAAATTTAGAATTCCCACACTTTTTCCCAAAAAGTCAAAAATCGATCCCGGGCACGCTTGGTCCACTCGTCACCTCGCATATACGTCGCAACATATGAAATTCACATAGCACACAGTCCGATGGTTCCTAATTGCCTCAAATCAAGGTTAAACTCAACAATTACCTTACTCCGCAGTCTCAGAGCTCTACCTGGGCCTTTCCCCTAGAATCCACCTCCAAACTACTCGTATCTAACCACAAGACTCAATAATATCAAGTATTGCTAAAGGAATCAATTACAATGCATAAATTTAGAATCCCCACACTTTTCCCCAAAAAGTTAAAAATCGACCCGAAGCCCGCTTGGTCCAAACCCGAAATTCGGACCAAAATCCGATTACCCATTTACCCCCGAGCCTGATTATGTAATTTGTTTCGAAATCCGACCTCAATTCGAGGTCTAAATTCTAATTTTACAAAATCTCTAATTCTACCCAATCCTCCAATTTCTACCATGGTTTGGAGCCCTTAAGGCTCCAAACCTGACATGCACACAAGCCCAAAAAATCATACGAACTTGCTCGCGCGATCAAATCGCCAAAATAACACCTAGAGCTATGAATCGAACGTCAAATCGAATGAAATTTCCAAGAAAACTTATGAGCTTCTATTTTAACAACCGGACGTCCGAATCACGTCAAACTAACTCCGTTTTTCACTAAATTTGATAGACAAGTCATAATATAGTAATGGACCTAGTCCGGGTACCGGAACCGAAATACGGACCGGGTATCAACAAAGTCAAACATTGGTCAAACCTTAAAAGTCATTTAACCTTTAAACTTTCAAATTTCAACAAAAAGCGATAACTCGAGCTAGGGACCTCGGAATTCGATTCCGAGCATATGCCCAGGTCTCAACTCACGATATGGACCCACCGGGACTGTAAATACACGGATCCGTGTTCGTTTGCTCAGAACGTTGACCGAAGTCAACTCAAATAGATTGTTAAGGTAAAATTTTATGTTTTATCAATTTTTAACATAAAAGCCTTCCAGAAGAACATCCAGATTGCGCACGCAAATCGAGGAAGGCTTAGAGAAGCTATCGGAGGCTTTGACACACAAATTTAAGATTTAAAACTCTAGATGACCTATCGGATCATCACAACCACAATCTAAAGCCTACTCTGATTAGTGGAGAAGACTAAGTGTAGGAAAATACTGGGAATTTAGTATTTATAGAAGTACATAATATGTGTACTTATATAGGGATAGCTAGGGTTATAGTAATTACTAAAATTACTAGGCTTTGCCTTAGTGGGCCCTAAGAGCACCCTTATGGGTGGACTCTTTTTCTTGCATCTCCTGCTCACACATAATGGGAGTGCTCATCTTGTCTGAGAAACATATTATTATCTCATCTCCTCAATCATTCATACAGGGAAGTTGACCGTGCGACCAGCATAATGTGAGAGCTAAGTGCTATACATCTGTTAGGAGTATATAGCCTCTCATTGAGTGCAAACGTGCAAGTAGATCATAAAGTATGCAGTTCCCTAGATCATGTAAATCACATTTGATATAGTCTCAAAATCTCATATATCATTATTTATTGTATTCACTATCATAACTTACAAG